ATTTAGACCCTATAGAGTTCAGCCAGTCCAACGTGGTGATAAATGGGAAAAATGACCAATAGTACAAGATGAACTAAAAAATAAAAAATTATCATATAAAAAGATCCTAAAAACAGAAATAGAGATAAGTATAGAAAAAATCATAGAACAATTAGAAAAAATTTATGGAGAAAACCCATTATTATTTTGGAAACCATATCATCCTAAAACTAAAATAGAACTAAAAGAAAATGTTATAATAAGAGTTAGACTAATGATGTATACCTTACAGGATATGGAAGAATTTAAAATTCAAATAAAAGAACTATTAGAACAAAAGTTAATTAGACTCAGTAATGGACCTCATAGTAGTCCAATTTTTATAGTTATGAAACATTCTGAGCGGATTAGAGGAAAAGTTAGAATGATAATAAACTATAAGGAATTAAATAAATATACTAAATTTGATGGTTACTTTTTACCAAATAAAGAAGTCCTAATAAACCTTACAAAAGGAAAACAATATTATTCCAAATTTGATTGTAAATCAGGATTTTGGCAAATCAAAATGGAAGAAGACAGTATACAATATACAGCTTTTAATACACCTCAAGAAAAATATGAATGGTTAGTTATGCCATTTGGTTTTAAAAATGCACCTCAAATATTTTAAAGGAAAATGGATAATATATTCAAAAAGTTTAGTGATTTTCTTATGTTTATATAGATGATTTATTAATATACTCTAATAATAAAAAAGAACATAGGAATAATTTATTACAATTCATAAATGAATGCAAAAAGGAAGGAATTGTACTTTCTAAAAATAAATCTATAATAGAGAAAAAAGAAATAGATTTTTTGGGATTTTCAATAGATAGAAAAGGAATAAAATTATAGACTCATATATCTAAAAAGATAGAAAGCTTTCCAAATGAATTAAAATCTATAAAACAAATACAAAAATTTTTAGGATGTTTAAACTATGTTGAAGGATTTATTGAAAATCTCTAAAAAAAAGACGTAAGATACAAATTCTACTTAGAAAAATAAATACTAAAGGTTGGAATAAAGAACATACTGAAATTGTTAAATCATTAAAAGAAGAATGTAAAAATTTACAAAAACTAAGGTTATCAGATGAAAAAGATAATCTAATTATTAATACTGATGCCTCGGATAAATATTGGGCAGTTATATTAAAAACAGATTTAAATGAAATATGCAGATATTCAAGTGGAACTTTTAACCAAGCAGAAATAAATTATATTACTTATGAAAAAGAATTGTTAGCAATTATTAGAACAATAAAAAAGTTTTCATTATTCCTTTTATCTAAAAAATTTATTGTTAAAACCGATAATTTTCAAGTTGCAGGATTTATTAGAAATAAGTTACTTATGGAACCTCAATATAGAAGGTTACACAGATGGCAAGCATATTTATCATTCTACAATTTTGATATTATTCATATTAAATGAATAAATAACTATCTTGTAGATTTTTTGAACAGGAATATCGAATTTGGAGATGGATAATATAAAAAATTCATTAATAGACGTCAACAAACGAAAGAAATTCCTCATGGAAGAATCAGAAGATATGAAAATTGGAATTGAACAATTAGAGCAAATGGCAGAATCTATCTGACAAAATGTCAAATTGTTGGTGGAAATCTCTAATTCTCATTTCAAATATACCAAAAAATTGAATGACAAAATTGTTGATATTACTTCACAATTCGAGTCATTAAATACCAAACAGGAAATACCAATTGATACAATCTCAAAAATTCAAATAGGTACACAGCCAGGAAGCAGCAGTGGACCAACAATATCAAACGAGACATAGCAAGTCCCCGAAAGGTGACTATAAAAAATGGTGATGAACATACAAAAGTTATCAGAATCAAAACTGATGAAGACGATGATACCCCTTTATCATCAAAATAAGAAGAATATAGACCATTTGCTAAAATTGTTTATGAATTGGAAGAAAATGAATCATATTTTATTGCATCAGAAGATCATGTTTATCCCAAATTAATAATTACCAAAGATGCAGACCCTTTCATGGTCAAAATGGCGGCAGATTATGGATTTCTGGATTTGATCTATCCAGGAAAAGATTTAAAAGAAATTGAAAAATTTGATGATATATTCAGGGCAGAAGTTTCAAAATTTGTCCAAGGAAGATCGATTTATATCAAATTTTATTCAATAGTCCCGAGATTGATGGAAGGATATACTATCCTGCTGAACATATTATCACAATTGAATATGTTGGCCGAGATTTCTAGATTGAAGTTGGCCGATATAATAAATCATTGCCTAAAATCAATAAATCATGGATAAAATTCCTAAGAGTTTTGGGGATGAAAGTTCTTTACAAAATTGTAAAGAACTTTAATGATAAAAAATTCAGATGCTTGTGTCAATATGAAGAATGGACACTCCTTACGAACAATGGAAAAGAAAAATCTACTATTTTGAAAGAATATATCTAGAAATTTGATACTCATCAAATTAATGAAGTCCCACAACAATCCAAGAATCATGCAGACTGAGGGAGTGCCCCACATACAAACAAGATTAAAAGATTGATTCCTCAAGATAAAAGATTAATGGAGATAAATAAAAGAGGACCTACCACTACCAAAGCATCTAGCCAGCTACATATGGAGCCAAAGATGGAGAGGCAATAATAGAGGAAAAGATGCCCCTTTGATGAAAAAGCAAAAAATGCATGTGAAAATGTAGACTCCAGGAAGAAAAGAATAGAGAGGCATGTGAACCTTTTCAAATTCTGATATATCCAATGATGTAATAGACCAATAATAGCAAGTTTGAGTTATGTATAAATAGAGGTCTTTGGGGAAAAGAATGGATCATCTCGAGTTAGAAACCATTATCTTTCCTTAAACTTTGTTTAAAACCAATTTTTCTGGAAACCTCTTGTATACCATAGAAATCTTGTATAAATCATTATAGAAATAAAATCTCAATCTTTTGATATCAGAAAAATATGAATTTCTAAACTTCCTATCCCATAAATTCTTGATAGATTGAAGAAGATAATCTCTTTCTTACTTTAACAAAGAGAGAATTTTCTTTACTTAATATCCTTATTCTTAATTCCAAGAAAAGATACAGTGAGGGCAAGAAGCTGAAATAGCAGAAATCCCATTAAGGCAAAAGACCGTTTGAGGGAGCAGTTTGCAGATTCAGAGCCTGAAGGTCACTCGATTCTATGAATACAGATTTAAGATCATAAGTAAGGTAAAATTATTGTCTTTGTTAAATTTAGAAATAATTCTTCTAATATCTTGAAAAAATCGTAAGGATTATTACTTATCATGTTTGCAAAAACTCATCTATCATGTTATTATTATTTATAAAGCTTGTAAGGAATTATCTTTATGATGTCAGGCTATACAATTAAGGGATTAGATAATCTGTTAAAAAGGCTATTAGAAAAAATAAAAAATATTTTTTCTCAATTAGAGACTATGGATATATCATCTAAGGAGTATGATAATTTTAAAGAATTATATGACAATTATATCACAGATTATGCTAATTTATTAGATCAAAGGATGGAACTATATATTAAAATTCGAAATGAGAGAACTAGAAGAATTTTGGAACTATTCCAATAAATCAAGATATTTTTTGCAAAATATGACAAGCCATTTCATTAAGAGTATTATAGACATTTTGACAAGAATGAATAGTGATAAGCCATTTAGAAAAAGCCCCCATTTTTTATTCTTATTTTTACAATAATGTGGCTCAAACCGGGGCCAATCACACAAAATTATTGGTTTCACATAATATTACATTATAAATTTTGTTTGATATGCAGTATACTTCAAAATTGATTAAACAGTAAAATAATCAATACTTTAATTTGTCTTTCATTACTGAAATCGTCTAGTCTACAGTCCACCTTAATTAGACAGCTCATAGGTAATTACAATAATGGTTCATTGTTGCCTAATCACGTGGATTCTTGATACCATATTTATAGAGATGTGTATAGTATTCTCCGACTTAAGTTGTGATGAGGTTTATGTGGAGGAACAGGCATTGGCATACATGGAACAGTTGGATGGTCGGCTTTCAAAGAAATTGATGTAACTTTTGCGTTTGGTGTCCGTTTTATGCCCATAACCCCATTTCGGAAAGGTAGCGAGCGTTTCGTATTGAACACACAGCTTTGTCGTGACGTACGAGGGTTTTTGGGCATTTGAAGTCGTTTAGTGTGTCAAAACAACATTTTAAATTTTTGTGTCATTTATTTTCAGCATTTGTTATTTCCATTTTGTAGCCCAGTCCATTTTGGGACTACTGGCCCATTAGGTTATCTTTTCTTTCATATTTAAGACGCCACAAGACGCTTCCTAGAGTTTTCTTGGTTGTTCACGAAATAATAAAAGTTTGTTTCTGAATTCAATCCGTTTGGTTATTATTGTCGTGTGTTTGTAGATTCAATCTACATCATTTTGGTATCAGAGCATGGTACGTGGGAGAGGACGTGGTGGTCGTGGTGGCCAGATTGATGAAGTTGCAAATCTGCGTAATCATGTTGAGGCGTTGACAATCCGATTTGATCAATTCATGACATGGGCGGCAGAGGTTGTGCAGAACGGAACACCTCCTGCTCCTCCACGTCGTGCCCCAGTGAGTGATGGTAGCGGTGGATCTGAATCAGGGGAAAGGTCGGATGAGGAGACCTTGTCAGAGGCACGTGGCAATCGTGTTCAACAGCCTCGTGTGCAACAGCAGGACGCGTTTCAGCGATGGGAATCCGAATTCAAGGTTGATATACCTGAATTTCACGGTGGAATTGAGGCAGATGAATTCCTCGATTGGCTGGCGGCAATAGAGGAGATCTTGGATTACAAAGAAGTGCCCGACAATAAAAGGGTACCTTTGGTGGCGACTCGTCTGCGTGGTGGCAGCAACTGAAGCAAAACCGGATTCGTCAGGGTAAGGCGAAAATCCAGTCATGGGAAAAAAATGAAGAAACAGTTGAAGGCAGCGTTTCTTCCCTTTAATTATTCCAGGACTTTGTATCAGCACTTACAAAATTTGAGACAAGGCAATCGATCTGTAGATGCTTATTCCATAGAGTTTTACCCACTGATAGCGCGAAATGATGTGGGAGAATCAGAAGACCAGTTGGTAGCGCGCTATATTGGTGGACTACGATTGAATTTGCAAGACGTCGTAAATATGTTCTCGCCGATATCTGTTTCTGAGGCTCACCAGCGAGCACTTCAGGCTGAAAATCAACAACAACGTCGTTCTATAGTAGGCATTTTTGGTGGTCCATCTGGAGGTGGGGGTCGACAATTCGCCCCAAATCCCACATCTGGTCCGTTCCAATCCTTTACATCTAGGGGTCGGGACGTTGATCGGGACACTCGACCAGTGGTTCCTCCAACCGCTAATCCGGGTGGCTGGGCTCCTCCTGGTGGACGAGGGCGTGGAAGTCAGTGTTTTGGTTGTGGTGGTTTTGGTCATTTGAGGAATGACTGTCCGTCTCATGGGCGGCCACGCCCAGGTTTATTCATTGGAGAGACAACACAAGCCGATATTAACAATCCTGTTCATGCGGAGAATGAAGAAGAAGAGGCTGAAATTGTGCATACAGGTGACACGGGGCCTCTTTTGGTGGTCCGATGGGCGTGCCTTACGCCTAAGGGGTCGTCTGAGGACCTGCAGCGAAACAATATCTTTCTGTCTATGTGTACCATTGGAGGAAAGGTGTGTAGGTTCATCATTGATTCGGGTAGTTGCGAAAATGTGATATCCGAAGCTGCCGTGCAGAAGCTGCAGTTAAGCACCGAACCTCATCCTGCTTCCTATAGCCTAGCATGGTTGAGACGAGGTAATGAAATTCGTGTTACTAACCGTGTGTTGGTATCTTTTTCTATTGGCAGTGTGTATCGTGATAGTGTGTTTGGTGTGATGTGGTGCCGATGGATGTGTGTCTTTTGTTGTTGGGTCGTCCATGGCAGTTTGATAGGGATGTGTGCCATGAAGGGCGTCGAAATGCATATACATTCACCTTTTCGGGTAAAAAGATTATACTACTACCCTCCAAAGTTACGCAGTGTCTGTCTTCGACAGGGGACAGTAGTAATCTACTTTCCCGATCTTTGTTTGTGCGTGAAATGCTGGCAGAAGGTGTTGTACTATTGTTAGTGGGAACTAAGGCAATAGGAGTGTCAACAGTTCCTATGGCAGCCGAGGGGACGGGTCTTCACCCTAAAGCTGCCATCTTGGTGTCTGAGTTTCATGATGTGTTTTCGGATGACCTTCCACAGGGTCTTTCACCTTTGCGGGATATGCAACATCACATTGATTTGGTACTGGACGCGTCATTGCCTAATCGCCCACCTTATCGAATGAGCCCAGTGGAACATGAGGAGTTGAGGAGACAAGTAGAGGAGTTGGTGCAGAAGGGGTACATCAGAGAGAGCCTCAGCCCGTGTGCAGTCCCCGCACTCCTAGTGCCAAAAAAAGAGGGAAGTTATCGGATGTGTATAGATAGCAGGGCCATCAACAAAATAACAGTTCATTATTGCTTTCCGATACCGAGGCTAGATGACTTGCTTGATCAGTTGGCTGGCGCAACTGTGTTTAACAAACTAGACTTGAAAAGTGGTTACCATCAGATAAGAGTCCGTCCTGGTGATGAGTGGAAGACAACATTTAAGACACTGGAGGGATTATTTGAGTGGCTAGGTATGCCGTTTGGACTATCAATGCACCGAGCACGTTCATGCGGGTGATGAACCAAGCACTTCGACCGTTTATTGGTAAGTACGTTGTTGTATACTTCGATGATATATTGGTGTACAGTGGGTCGGAGGAGTCTCATGGTGTGCATCTAAGGGAAGTCCTTACTGTTTTACGCAAGGAGAAGTTCTTTGTAGCCACTAAGAAGTGCGTGTTCTATACCGATAATGTTTTATTTTTGGGGTATGTTGTGTCAGCCGGTAGGGTAACGGTGGATGCAGCTAATGTTGATGCGATTCGGTAGTGGCCGCGTCCACAGTCAGTTTCTGATGTGCGGTGTTTCCACGGTTTAGCGTCTTTTTATCGACGATTTATTCAGCACTTTAGCACCATCATGTCTCCCATTACTGATTGTATGAAGGAGAGCAAGTTTCAGTGGACATCCGAGGCTGAGAAAGCGTTTTGGATCATTAAGGAGCGTCTGACTTCAGCCCCGATACTTGCGTTGCCTGATTTCACAAAACCTTTTGCATTACATTGTGATGCTTCTAAATTGGGTATCGGAGCTGTCCTTAGTCAGGAAGGAAAACCAGTAGCTTATTTCAGTCAGAAGTTGGCAGGGGCTCGTGGGAGGTATAGCACTTAAGACGCAGAGCTTTATGTTGTTGTTCAGGCCATTCGCTATTGGCGACATTATCTGTTTTAGCGAGAATTTGTCTTATACAGTGATCATGAAGCCCTCAAGCATTTGTCAAGCCAGGAGTCTGTATCTGCCCGTCATGCATCATGGGTTGCCTTTTTGCAGCAGTTCAACTTTGTCATTAAACATCATGCTGGTTCTTCTAATCGTATGGCAGATGCGCTTAGTCGGCGGCATGGGTTATTAGCGTGGCTACAGGTAGCGGTCACTGGGTTTGAGACCTTCGTCTCTCTTTATGCTGATGACCCTTATTTTGGCCCCATCTATCATAGTTTACTGCAGGGACCCCATTCATCTTTTCTGTTAGAGGATGGGTATGTGTTTAGAGGTGTTCAGTTGTGTATACCAGATTGCAGCCTTCGTTTGAAATTGATTGAGGAGTTTCATGGTGAAGGTCATGTTAGGCGAGATCGTACTTTGGCTTTGATTAGCGCTTCATTTTTCTGGCCTATTATGCGTCGTGAAGTGGAGAAGTTTGTCTCACGATACAGGGTGTGCCACGTGGCAAAGGGGAAAGCCACAAACGCTGGTCTTTATCGACCCTTACCAGTGCCTTCAGCTCCGTGGACTGATATTAGCATGGATTTTGTCCTGAGTTTACCACGCACAAAACATGGTAATGATTCCATCTTTGTGGTGGTAGATCGTTTTTCTAAAATGGTGCATTTTCATTCCCTGCAAGCGCACCACTGATGATGTCAAGGTTTCTCAACTATTTTTCACAGAGATTTATCGGTTGCATGGGTTGCCCACTTCCATCGTGTCTGACAGAGACACGAGGTTCATTGGTCACTTTTGGCGGAGTTTATGGAAGTCAGTTAACACGTCGCTCAATTTTAGTAGTGCTTATCACCCTCAAACTGATGGGCAAATTGAGGTAGTTAATCGTTCTTTGGGTGACTTGTTGCGGTGCTTGGTTGGGGATAATCTACGCTCATGGGATTAGCGGCTTAGCTAGGTAGAGTTTGCGTATAATCATGCTAGAAATAGAAGCATCGGTTTCAATCTGTTCCAGGTTGTGTATAGTATTTTGCCCCGCAGCCCTGTTGATTTATTGGCTCTGCCCTCTAAGACTCGGTTGCATGGGACAGCTGTTGACTTTGTTCGTAGTTTGCAACAAGTTCACGAGAAAACATGAGCTAATTTGCTAGAGTCCAAACGTAAGTATAAAGGGGCGGCTGATCGGCATCGACGTCCTGTTGAGTTTGACGTTGGGGATTATGTTTGGGCGGTACTGACTAAGGATCGAGTGCCATCTCATGAGCATTCGAAGTTATCACCTCGTACCATTGGTTCAGTGGAAATTGTGGAGAAGATCAACCCCAATGCCTATCGCCTTCGACTTCCTTCCCATATACGGACTTCTGATGTGTTTAATGTAAAGCATCTTTTGCCATACCATGGAGACAACATCGGAGATAGTGCTACCGGTTCTGATTCGAGGGCGAATCCCGTTGATCCCGGGAGAATGATGAGGTTTATGTGGAGGAACAGGCATTGGCATACATGGAACGGTTGGATGGTCGGCTTTCAAAGAAATTGATATAACTTTTGCGTTTGGTGTCCGTTTTGGGCCCATAACCCCATTTCGGAAAGGTAGCGAGCGTTTCGGATTGAACACACAGCTTCGCCGTGACGTACGAGGGTTTTTGGGCATTTGAAGTCGTTTAGTGTGTCAAAACAGCATTTTAAGTTTTTGTGTTATTTATTTTCAGCATTTGTTATTTCCATTTTGTAGCCCAGTCCATTTTGGGACTGCTGGCCCAATAAGTTATCTTTTCTTTCATATTGAAGACGCCACAAGATGCCTCCTAGGATTTTCTTGGTAGTTCACGAAATAATAAAAGTTTGTTTCTGAATTCAATCCGTTTGGTTATTGTTGTCGTGTGTTTGTAGATTCAATCTACATCAAGTTGTCGTTATGTTATTAATTATCCAACGGCTGCTATTGTAGGATCATGATGTGGGCACCGAAAGAAACTTTGTTCAAGGCGTGCAATATAGTTTAAGATAGAAAACAATATAAAGAAATAGAATATGAAGCTTGTATCTCTATGGAACAATGGAATTGCCACAGGAAATTAAATTATTTTATCATTAATTAGATCTATTGATTTTGGCTTATCAGACGTCTGCGGCCCACATTAATTGTTATGCTAGCATTGACAATATACAGAGACTAGATCGACCATTTAAAGGAGTAAAATTGTCTTCTCCACACGTCTCGTTTAAACATATAACCTAATTACATGTATTTAAATTTGGCTCAGGAACTTGAGACTGGCGAGATGACGACCCTATCAAATTACTAGGAGCTCAAAGTTCTTCCCTATAGATATCCGTATTGGTTTACCTACCATGACCTCGCGTAACCAATCTACAAGTCCTAAATAAACCAAAAACGAGGAAAGCTGGCCCTTTGAGAGAATCAAAGAGCTCTAATTATGTCGAATAATCCATAACTTTGAAATAGGTCTCAAAGAAAATGTCAAATTGAGCGCCTTCATAAGTACAGTACAGTCTACTCTACTGAAGTTAACACCCTCAACAAACTTCCGAAAATGTGGGGAGTAACATTGAGACGGAAGCAAACTTTAAGCTCCAGTAGCAGTAGAATGAATCTCGTCAACTTCAAAAATAATATGATATAAAAGCAGGCAATAAGTCAAATTATTCGATCTTCAAGTAAACTCCAATGCCAAAATACACTGCTAATTGCTTAATTGTCAAATTAAAATATCATATATTATGGCTATGCACCACATCTGGGGCAGATCCAGACCTTTAGTATTGTGGGGTCAAAATTTTAGAAATAATTTTTTTAATAAACAACATAATATCAATGAAAATAAGTTTATATGTATTTTGACACTTTGAAAATGTCGTATAATTACATTATTATTAATATTATTAAATAAATTTTACTACTTATATAGTTTTGTTTATCATTTCATTGGCAAATGCTGAGTTAACATTGAGCAAATTAAATTGAATATAGAAGTTAAATGGATTGAAATAAAATTCATGTTTGTTCAGGAAGTAAATGAAATTCAAATATAATTTTAAAGTAATTCAAATTGCATTTAATCTGTAACGACCCTAAAAAATTTATGTCATATTTTTTGTAAGACTTTCGAATGAAACAATATAAATTATATTGAAAAATTTATCGTTCAAAAATAATAATTAATCGAACTTTTTAAAAGAAAGAACGAGTTAGACGTCTTTTTTGAAGGTCACGTTTGATACATATTTAACTATTTTCGATATCCGTTTGACCATTCAATATGAAAACGATGTAGTTTTCGAAACAAACTTTTACATGACAAACGATTTGTGGATTCAAATAGCACATGATTGCAAATGAATTTTTAAAATTAAGATATTATCGAAATTCTCAAAATACTAGTTTCAAACGCCCTACTTTAATATATTATAACTTTTGTTATAGTTGACCACTTCGCATGCCATCAATGAGTAAAAAATTAGATCATGAGCACTTTGAAATGGTATTAAGAATGCAATATTTTGACTTTATTTGGTATCCCGACGAATGCATCAAAGTAGATTGTAAAAAAAAAATGGAGCAAAATTTTGTGGGATCATTTGACCCCACATGACCTCATGTGGGTCCACCCCTGCACCACACTAAGCAAACTAAACCCGACAAAAAGCAATTTTGCTTGTTTATATCTCAATATATTGGTTGCAGTGGAAAGATCAAGTCTCCATCACTATTTATTATCTTAAGACTTCAAGAGCTTCATGTTTTTTTTGTGCGACTCTTCAATTTTACCCAAGGTGTCCCGTGACATGTCAATGGTGCTACAAAAATACATCTAATTGATGTGCTCGGATTTCCTGGAAAAATAATCATAACATCCGGGGTCGTGTTTCTGACTTTGAAAATCTCAAATGTGTAATATAGGGTTAATTTATCAAGATAATTTTACCAAGAAAATAGAAAAATACCCAATTCATTGGAATGCTTAATAACTAAGTTTTGACAAAGTCCGGATTAAATATTTATGTTGATGTCAAAATATTTTTGGCTCCAGAGACTTTCGAGTTTCATGTTTCTTAAATTAAAATGTGATTCATTATTAGTGCGTATCTAGATGGGTGATGATAATTAATGATAAAGCATTATTCTTTCTTAAATGTCAAAAAGTTTCACCTGAACCTAATTAGGGCCAAGTACTTTGTCTTTTCCTAAAAAGTATATGTTGTTGATTATCGTTGAAAAAACTTGAAGACGGTCTTGGAATAATGAAAAAACAAATAACCAACCGGATAAAAACCTCACTGCATTGTTAAAAAAAAAGAAAGAAAGAAAGAAAGAAAGAAAGAAAG